GTTATATGATCGTTCAGGAAACTGTCTCTATGATAAGTAATGAGTTTTATGGATTTTTTTTGTTGTATTTTATATTATTTTGATCTTTCCCTGATAGTAAACCGTTTTTGTCGCATCTTGTGTCTGAGTGTTTTTTTTAAATATATTCCCCATTTTCAGTATATTCACCATTTTAAACTTTTCTAACTGGTGTAATGATGTATTGAGTGTATTGGTCATAACTACTTTCTCTTGAATGCTAAAAGTATTTGCAATTCGGTCAACGCTGTATTTTAGAACTATTACAGCTGCAGACCATTGACTTCATGAGACAACGTGACGTTAGTTTTCAGTCACAGACTGTCATCCAGAGTATCGAGGAGTGAGTGGGAGAGGCCGGAACAGTTACACACCTATATTTATATGACTCTGACTCATAGTTGGTCTCAAGGATGTCTGACTAACGTAGTCCACTTTTCTTTCTTGAGTGAATGAGCTTTGAGCTGAACCTATAGCGCTGACAGGAAACTCGTCAAATTCAGAAAAAGGGGTCGCGTAGCGGAGGAATCTCTTTTTAAATGGTTCATTAGCTGTTATTTAAAGAACGTCCAACTATTTATTACATTTTAGTCATTTTAGCAGACGCTGTTTCCCGTAGTGACTTACAGGAGCAATTAGGGTTAAGTGCCTTGCTCAAGGGCGAGAGAGAGTGAGATTGCAATTGCATTGGCTGTCCTGCCTTGAACTTCTTGAACCTTTTCTCCTCCTGAGGGCAGTTATGTCAATGATGGGATAACAGAGAGAGGCACACAGTCTCCAATGATGACACCCTGGCTTATTATACTGAACAAAAATATAAACGCAACATGTAAAGTGTTGGTCCCATGTTTCATGAGCTGAAATAAAAGATCCCAGAAATGTGTTCACAAATTTGTTTACATCCCTGTTAGTGAGCATTTCTCCTTTGCCAAGATAATCCATCCACCTAACAGGTGTGGCATATCAAGAAGCTGATTAAAAAGCACGATCATTACACAGGTGCACCTTGTGCTGGGGCAATAAAAGGCCACATTAAAATGTGCAGTTTTGTCACACAACACAATGTCACAGATGTCTCAAGTTTTGAGGGAGCGTGCAATTGGCATGCTGACCGCAGGAATGTCCACCAGACCTGTTGCTAGAGAAATTAATGTTCATTTCTCTACCATAAGCCGCCTCCAACGTCATTTTAGAGAATTTGGCAGTACGTCCAACCGGCCTCACAACCGCAGACCACGTGTAACCACGCCAGCCCAGGACATCCACATCCGGCTTCTTCACCTGCGGGATCGTCTGAGACCAGCCACCCGGATAGCTGATGAAACGGAGGAGTATTTCTGTCTGTAATAAAAACTAATTCTGATTGGCTGGGCCTGGCTCCCCAGTGGGTGGGCCTAGGCCCTCCCAGGCCCACCCATTGCTGTGCTCCTGCCCAGTCATGTGAAATCCATAGATTAGGGCCTAATGAATTTATTTCAATTGACTGATTTCCTGATATGAACTGTAACTCAGTAAAATCGTTGAAATTGTGGCATGTTGCGTTTATATTTCTGTTCCGTGTATATCGGAAGAATAAAGGGGTTTACTAACATCTGGTGACGACTGAAAAATTGCATTGTATGACGACAGCTTTTATTTTGGTATAGGACTGTACATTATACAGTGGAATATCAGATACAATTACTGACACATAATTATATTTCAGCTCTGTGCCCCTAAGGTTGTTTTCTTTAATTACAAAAAAGAGTCCCGTTTTTTAGACATTAAATGCACTATTTACATTTTTGTCATTTAGCAGACACTCTAATCCAGAGCGATTTACAGGAGCAATTAGGGTTAAGTGCCTTGCTTAAGGGCACATCGACAGATTTTACACCTAGTCGGCTCGGGGATTAGAACCAGCCACCTTTCGGTTACTAGCACAACGCTCTTACCCAACAATACAGAATAAAACAATTCATAAAAAGTCCCATGATGGTAGTGACTGCCCATTACTGCTTATTAAACATCATTTATTCACATTACTTTAATAAAATATTTCAGTTGATGACTGTTATTTCATTCCAAGTCATCATCTCATCTCTATAGAGCTGCTGCTGTCTGAAAAAAATCACTATTTTATTTTTCCTTCTAAGTAAATAAGTCCGTCTCAGACCGGACAAGTGGGCACGCAATGGATTATGGTCATTGTAGTTAATTATCACGTTTTCTGTGCCAAACTTTGTCGAATATTGGCCTGTTAGAAACTACACATCCCTACTACATCGCAACAGTTTGGGCTTGATGGAACTAAATGCAATTCAAATAATTGAACAGACCTTGGTCAATTAGTTGTTTTAAAAACAAAAAAAATAACCGACTGTTCGGTTAATCACTCAGCCCAAACGTCTCACTGTAGTTGAGGGTGTGTGAACAGACCTGATTGATACCTATTCATTTGTTCATTAAGGTCAGTGGCTATGATCATTTGTCAAACCCACCACACCAGTGAAAGATTATGTTGAGAGACTGGTTGGAAGGAAATTGTATAATTGAATATAAGGAAGACAGAGGAAGACATATAGACTGAGTGTACAAAACATTAAGAACACCTGCTCTTTCCATGAAATAGACTGACCAGGTGAAAGTTATGATCCCTTATTGATGTCACTTGTTAAATGCACTTAAATCAGTGCAGATGAAGGGGAGGAGACCGGTTAAAGAATGATTTTAAAGCCTTGAGACATGGATTGTGTATGTGTGCCAAAATCAAATCAAATGTTATTGGTCGCATACACGTTTAGCAGATGTTATTGCAGGTGTAGCTAAATGCTTGTGCCATTCAGAGGGTGAATGGACAAGACAAAAGTTTTAAGTGCCTTTGAACGGGGTATGGTAGTAGGTGCCAGAAGCACTGTTTGTGTCAAGAACTGCAACGCTACTGGGTTGTTCTCGCTCAACAGTTTCCCCTGTGTATCAAGAACGGTCCACCACCCAAAGAACATCCAGCCAACTTTACACAACTGTGGGAAGCATTGGAGTCAACATGGGCCAGCCATCCCTGTGGAAGGCTTTCGACACCTTGTAGAGTCTGACAAATTTAAGCTGTTCTGAGGGGAAGGTGTTCTTAATGTTTTGTACATTCAGTGTAGGCCTACACTGACCCCTTTAGAACGGATGCAAAGTGGTCACTTGTTAATTAATTATAATTCGTTCTATTTCTATGTTTCAGGTGTTTGTTAGAAAAAGGTTAAAGAAAGATAAATATATATATATATATTTTTTTTTTACTGGCCATTAAAATAATGACAACAATCCTCCATCATGAGGCCTATAATAACAAGTATACACTGAACAAAAATATAAAACGCAACATGCAACAATTTCAATGATTTTACTGAGTTACAGTTCATATAAGGAAATCAGTCAATTTTAAATAAATTCATTAGGCCCTTATCTATGGATTTCACATGACTGGGAATACAGATATGCATCTGTTGGTCACAGATACCTTATAAAACAGCTATGGGCGTGGATCAGAAAACCAGTCAGTATCTGGTGTGACCACCATTTGCCTCATGCAGCTCGGCACATTTCCTTTGCATAGAGTTGATCAGGCTGTTGATTGTGGCCTGGGGAATCTGAGTATGCAGGCCATGCAATCCACAGGCCATGCAAGAACTTGGACATTTTCAGCTTCCAGGAATTGTTTACAGATCCTTGCGACATGGGGCTGTACATTATCATGCTGAAACATGAGGTGATGGCGGCGGGTGAATGGCATAACAATGGATCTCGTCATGGTATCTCTGTGCCTTCAAATTGCCATCTGTAAAATGCAATTGTGTTCGTTGTCCGTAGCTTATGCCTGCCCATACCATAACCCCACTGCCACCATGGGGCACTCTGTTCACAACGTTGACATCAGCAAACCGCTCACCCACACGATGCCATCTTTCCGGTACACTCCGTGAAGAGCACACTTCTCCAGCGTGCCTGTGGCCATCAAATGTGAGCATTTGCCCACTGAAGTAGGTTACTATGCCAAACTGCAGTCTAGTCAAGACCCTGGTGAGGACGAAGAGCATGCAGTTGAACTTCCCTGAGACGGTTTCTGACAGTTTATGCAGAAATTATTTGGTTGTGGAGGTCCTGGGCTGCCATGGTTACATGTGATGTGCGGTTGTGAGGCCGGTTGGAAGTACTGCCACATTCTCTAAAACGACGTTGGATGTGGCTTATGGTAGAGAAATTAACATTCAATTCTCTGGCAACAGCTCTGGTGGACATTCCTGCAGTCAGCATGCCAATTGCACCCTCCCTCAAAACTTGAGACATCTGTGGCATTGTGTTGTGTGACAAAACTGCACATTTTTAAAGTGGCCTTTTGTTGGCCCCAGCACAAGGTGCACCTAATTTGTGAACACAAATGTAAGTCGCTCTGGATAAGAGCGTCTGCTAAATGACTAAAATGTAAATTTAACTTTTATTTCAGCTCATGAAACATGGGACCAACACTTTACATGTTCCATTTATATTTTTGTTCAGTGTACATAGGTAGCCTATATTTCAGATTCCATCTAGGTTCTACCTTGCTGAATAATCACAATAGCCGCCGGTATGATGACAATACCTAGTAAAGGAATTTGGTTTATCTGACAGAACTGTGAGCCTGATGCCCTTTCAGGATGGTACTGAGATCCCATCTCAATAAGTGCCCTGCACTGGCTCAGCATTGTGCAAAAAAATACATTTGATTATTATTATTATTTTTTTGTACAGAATTTGATTTCAATCAATATTAACCATACATACATCTATATATTTCACCTGTTATGTATTCAGAAACATTGGACTATATGATATTCCTACCCAGCACAACACACACTCTTCTGTTGTTGCTCTCACGCTAACGTGCGAGATCCAGCCCCGACTACGCGGTCGCAATATGCCTCAACTTCCCCCCCTCCCCCGCGGACTGCCTGGCTTGAGATGAGTGGAAGATGTCGGTTTCGGGTCTGAAGGCCGAATTGAAGTTTTTGGAGTCAATTTTTGACACAAACCACGAACGTTTCAGAATTATCGATTGGAAGCCGGATGAGCTTAGTTGTCAGTTTAATGTAACCGGTGAAAAACTGTTGATAATACATTGCAACATCACGGTAAGAAAGACGCTAGCTACGTAGCTAGTTAGCACAGGGCTAGCGATAAACATGACGAATTTGGAATTCTCAAGCCGAACACTGCGAATACACAAATCAGCTAGCTAGCTAGCTCTGTTTTTGGAGATCGTTAGCCACATAATATAGAAATGTGTTTGAGACTTTTCAGTTAGTTTATACTTTATCAACGGGCCATATGTCCAGTTATAGTTAGCTATGCTAGCTAACTTGTTAGCAAACAAGAAATAAGCTCATATTTGTAAACGTTACCGTTGGTTGTTATAAGCTAGTAGGCTAATGCGTCTGGAAAAAACTGAGAATGTATTTTGCCACCCAGCCAATCTATAAATTGTTTCTGATATTTGTACCTTATTTTGCTGATACAATAACTTGTCACAAGGTAACGTGACCTGTGAACACAATTGCTGACTAATGGAGATAAAGAATAGTCCTGCGTAAAAGGATTGTTCGCATTAGCTAGCTAGCTAAAAACCAGGACATAACGTTAAAAGTCAGTGCGTGACTAGGTAGGTAGGTAGGTAGTGCGTGTTGCATATTTATGGATGCCTCTATATGTGAGATATAATTATTTTATTCTGAAGTAGCTTCACCTACTAGCTACTTAACTAGTAAATTAGCTATTTCTGTTTGTAGATATAGCGTGTCAGTTCAGCCCTGTTCCATTAGAGCTTTGCCTAGTAATGATGTGATCAACTTGATCATCCCTCCCCTCCCAGGAGTCATACCCTTCCACACCTCCAATCTGGTTTGTTGACTCTGATGACCCAAGTCTGACAGAGGTGTTGGAGCGCCTGGAAGATGTCAGAAAAGGCACCTCTTTGGTAAGTCACTCACCTGTGTGTGTGTGTGTGTGTGTGTGTAGACTTGACTTTTCTTCTTTCAACACGATATGCTGTAGGATGTAGCACCAGCTCTCATGGAAGGCATAGGCCCTAATACCACCTACACAATTGGTTGATTGTAAAAAGGGTCAGTCACACTATATGTATTTTATCCAAAGTGAATTAGTCATGCGTGCATACGTTTTTACATATGGGTGGCCTTAGCGGGAATTGAACCCACTACCCTTGCAGTTGTAAGCGCCATGTTCTACTGACTGAAGGCGTCCGTCCGCATGCTTCCCATCCGAGAAACAGTTCGGAACAGTTTGTGCATATATTATGACATTTTGTGATGTTTTGGTATTTGGCAAGCGCTTTTTCGTCTGTTCGTGCGAAACATTTCTCAAGGCAAGCCGAAGTCTACGCCCCCTTCGTCAGTGATTGGGCAACAGTAGGGATTCTTCAATGAAGTGTTTATCATTCAACTAGCTAATCGTTTTCATGCACATTTTTTCACTTGAAATACGGAACCAAACACCTTAGATGTAAAATTGCGTGACTAAGATCTCCTCTGCAAAAACGTCAAAAATGAATGACACATTTCTTCAGTTATCTTTGATTAATTCGGACTATTTTGAGGAAGTGGATACTGGCTACGGCGTCTCAAGATGGAGAAATTGTACTATTGCTGCTTTTTCCCCCCTTGTTTTTCAAGGCGAAGGTCTTTAAGGGAGTATGCGAGCACACTCGTTCGGTCCTCAGCTAGGCGCCAGCTGAACAGAAGCATGCGGAAGGCTTGAGCCACGTAGAACACTGACTGTAAGTCGCTCTGGCTCATATGGAAATCATAGTACCTCCTTCACAATTGGTTGATAAGTTACTGGCAACTAGGTCGTGGCCGGAACATAAATATAATAAGTTGTATACTTCAAATTGACCACAACTAAGCCCAAAAAGAGATTGTATTTTTCAAAAACAAGGATTTCATACCTTGATTACATTAAGACACGATCACATACAGTGAGCTCCAAAAGTATTGGGACAAGTGACAATTTTTGTTGTTGTGTTGGCTTTGTACTCCAGCACTTTGGATTTTAAATGATACAACGACCATGAGGTTAAAGAGCAGACTGTCAGCTTTAATTTGAGGGTATTTTCATCCATATCGGGTGAACCGTTTAGAAATGAAAGCACTTTTTGTACATAGTCCCCCCATTTTAGGGTACCAAAGTTATTGGGACAAATTTACTAATGTGTATTAAGTAGTCAAAAGTTTAGTATTTGGTCCCATATTCTTAGAACGCAATGATTACATCAGGCTTGTGACTCTACAAACTTGTTGAATGCATTTGTTTGTTTTGGTTTTCTTTCAGATTATTTTGAGCCCAATAGAAATTAATGGTAAATGATGTATTGTGTCATTTTGGAGTCACTTTTTTATTGTAAATAAGAACAGAATATGTTTCTAAACACTTCTACATTAATGTGGACGCTACCATGGTTACGTATAATCCTGAATGAATCGTGAATAATGATGAGTGAGAAACTTACAGACGCACAAATATCACACCCTCAAGACATGCTAACCTCTCACCATTAGAACAACAGGGGGAGGTTAATACCCTCAAGACATGCTAACCTCTCACCATTACAATAACAGGGGGAGGTTAGCATTTTGGGCCTCTGTTAGATATTTATGCCTCTGTAACTTTCTCACTCACAATTATTCACGATTCATTCAGGATTATCCATAATCATTGTAGCATCCACATTAATGTAGACTTTTTTTTAGAAACATTCTATTCTTATTTAGAATAAAAGTGACTCCAAAATGACACAATACACAGTTCACCTGATATTAATGAAAATACCCTCAAATTAAAGTGGACAGTTTGCACTTCAACCTCTTAGTCATTGTATCATTTCAAATCCAAAAGGTTGGAGTACAGAGCCAAAAAAATAAAAATATTGTCCCAATACTTTTCATTTTTTATTTATTCCTGGGAATACTTTGTGAACAGATTTCCTAAATGAACCAAATTTTTAACTGACTTCCTGGTGTTTTTAGTATTTTTTTGCCTGTTGACGACCCCTGCTCTACAGAGTTGGTGGTATTGTAATATTGTGAAAAGGGTTCAGAGATACTGTAGAATGACAGTTGACCTGTTTTTTTTGTTTTGTTTCCCCAGCTCCTGCAGCAGCTGAAGCGTCTCATCTGTGACCTGTGTCGGCTGTACAACCTGCCCCAGCACCCAGATGTTGAGATGCTAGATCAGCCCCTCCCTGCTGGGCCCATCAACCCAGAGCGCAAGGTAGGGCTCATTCTAGAATGAGATTCTATTTCTTTGGTAGGCTTGACAACCCCATATAAATATAATCTGGAACTGGTGGACTCTGATTTGAATCACATTTGCAGGCTGACCCCACAGTATGAAATCAGTGAATATTCAGTTGGTTTGAATCACACTGTCAGTGGAAATAATGTCAGCTTCAAATTATGTATCAGATTTGAATCTAAATATTGTGATTCAAGGATGGGGACAGCCCTATCGCAAGGCAAGACTCTTATTCTGGGCCTGAGTAACATTCCATAGCCCATTGAAACAATCAGAAAGGCATGCCTTGTCTTTAAACTCACAATCTATTTTCTTTCTTTCCTTTTTCCTGTATTTTTCCTTTATAGCATGGACCAGCGGATGAAGTGACATCCGAGGAGGAGGAGGAGGAAGAAATGGGCGAGGTGTGTGTGTACCGGTTTGTGTGTGTGTGTGTACATGTGTACCTATGGACAACGAACATTACATATGAAAATGTATGCACTCACTAACTGTAAGTCGCTCTGGATAAGAGCGTCTGCTAAATGACTAAAATGTAACAAAAATGTAAATAGAGATAATATCAACATTCACCTTAAACTTCTTGTGCGTGTGCTGAATATACAGTTGAAGTCAGATGTTTACATACACCTTAGCCAAATACATTTAAACTCAGTTTTTCACAATTCCTGACATTTAATCCTAGTAAAAAATTCCCTGTCTTAGGTCAGTTAGGATCACCACTTTATTTTAAGAATGTGAAATGTCAGAATAATAGTAGAGAATTATTTATTTCAGCTTTTATTTCTTTCATCACATTCCCAGTGGGTCAGAAGTTTACATACAGTCAATTAGTATTTGGTAGCATTGCCTTTAAATTGTTTAACTTGGGTCAAACATTTTGGGTAGCCTTCCACAAGCTTCCCACAATAAGTTGGGTGAATTTTGGCCCATTCCTCCTGAAGGTAGGCCTCCTTGCTCGCACACGCTTTTTCAGTTCTGCCCACAAATGTTCTATAGGATTGAGGTCAGGGCTTTGTGATGGCCACTCCAATACCTTGACTTTGTTGTCCTTAAGCCATTTTGCCACAACTTTGGAAGTATGCTTGGGGTCATTGTCCATTTGGAAGACCCATTTGCGACCAAGCTTTAACTTCCTGACTGATGTCTTGAGATGTTGATTCAATATATCCACATCATTTTCCTTCCTCATGATGCCATCTATTTAGTGAAGTGCACCAGTCCCTCCTACAGCAAAGCACCCCCACAGCATGATGCTGCCACCCCCGTGCTTCACGGTTGGTATGGTGTTCTTCGGCTTGCAAGCCAACCCCTTTTTCCTCCAAACATAGCGATGGTCATTATGGCCAAACAGTTCTATTTTTGTTTAATCAGACCAGATTACATTTCTCCAAAAAGTACGATCTTTGTCCCTATGTGCAGTTGCAAACCGTAGTCTGGCTTTTTTATGGCGGTTTTGGAGCAGTGGCTTCTTACTTGTTGAGCGGCCTTTCAGGTTATGTCGATATAGGACTCGTTTTACTGTGGATATAGATACTTTTGTACCTGTTTCCTCCAGCATCTTCACAAGGTCCTTTTTGCTGTTCTGGGATTGATTTGCACTTTTCGCACCAAAGTATGTTAATCTCTAGGAGACAGAACGCATCTCCTTCCTGAGCGGTATGACGGCTGCGTGGTCCCATGGTGTTTATACTTGCGTACTATTGTTTGTACAGATGAACGTGTCACCTTCAGGCGTTTGGAAATTGCTCCCAAGGATGAACCAGACTTGTGGAGGTCTACAATTATTTTTCTGAGGTCTTGGCTGATTTCTTTTGATTTTCCCATGATGTCAAGCAAAGAGGCACTGAGTTTGAAGGTAGGCCTTGAAATACATCCACAGGTACACCTCCACTTGACTCAAATGATGTCAATTAGCCTGTCAGAAGCTTCTAAAGCCATGACATCATTTTCTGGAATTTTCCAAGCTGTTTAAAGGCGCAGTCAACTTAGTGTATGTAAACTTCTGACACACTGGAATTGTGATACAGTGAATTATAAGTGAAATAATCTGTCTGTAAACAATTTTTGGAAAAATGACTTGTGTCATGCACAAAGTAGATGTCCTAACCGACTTGCCAAAACTATAGTTTGTTAACAAGAAATGTGTGGAGTGGTTGAAAAACGAGTTTTAATGAGGAGGAGAGGAACCTAAGTGTATGTAAACTTCCGACTTCAACTGTAACTTATCTTGTGTGTATGTATACTATATATAGTACACATACACATATAACCTCTCTTGTGTGCAGGCCTTGAAATGAAGGGCGTCCTGTCGTCCCTGGGATGATAAATAATGTCTGGGACGATAGATCCTAAATTCATACAACCACTGTACATAATTAAAATGTAAAAAAGCAATGAGGCGGATGCAACTGATCTGAACGTTTATCTTAAAATATTGATAAACAATTTACATTTAGTCATTTAGCAGACGCTCTTATCCAGAGCGACTTACAGTTAGTGAGTGCATACATCTTTCATACTGGCCCCCCGTGGGAATCGAACCCACAGCTCTGGCGTTGCAAGCGCCATGCTCTACCAACTGAGCGCAGCAATGCGCACACGGCAGTTGGCTACGTGCAAATGTTTCAAAAATGCAATTTGCGGCAACGCACCGTTCTAAAAAGCCACTGCACATCCGAGCGGTTTCATGTGACTGAGATGAAAGTTAGAAATTTAGAATGAGGGGAGATTTAAAGATGCAACAACTAGCATGGGGTTGCTAATATGATTAGGATTGTGTCTTTGGCTGCTGGACAATGAAATAAAGTTGATTTGAAAACCAATAGAACATGAGAGAAAAGCTAATGGCCTAAGGAAGCTATTATAAAATAAATCCCTCAACATTTCTATGGTCCTATTTTGGCTAGGCTACCTTTAAACAAGGTAAGACATGCCCCTATAAAATGACATAAAACCTCCAGAGTTTTAAACAATTACGTTTATGGTTAAATAGTTGCAAAATGCTGACTGCCTCCGCTCAGATTGCAAGGTGGGTGATATGTGCTCTTACCCTCCACTCTTGTGACCATTTTTGACCTGAACAAACCGTGCGTTGAGTGGCCAACGTCAACAGAATCAATCCTATAGACGTTAATGTTAATTATCCTACATTATATTTGACAAACATGACTGGCGTTTAGCCTATATGTAATTAAAAGTCTCATTACGCATATTACCTAGGCTACACTTTGACATGTAGGCTAATTATTTATACTGAACAAAAATAAACGCAACATGCAACAATTTAAATAAATTGATTAGGCCCTAATCTATGGATTTCACATGACTGGGAATACAGATATGCATCTGTTGGTCATAAATACCTTTAAAAAAAGGTAGGGGCGTGGATCAGAAAACCAGTCAGTATCTGGTGCGACCACCATTTGCCTCATGCAGCGCGACACATCTCCTTTGCTGGTCTCAGACAATCCAGCAGGTGAAGAAGCAGGATGTGGAGGTCCTGGGCTGGCTGGTTACACGTGGTCTACGGTTGTGAGGTCGGTTGGACGTACTGCCAAATTCTCTAAAACTGCTTATGGTAGAGAAATGAACATTACATTCTCTGGCAACAGCTCTGGTGGACATTCCTGCAGTCAGCATGCCAATTGCACACTCCCTCAACTTGAGACATCTGTGGCATTGTGTTGTGTTACAAAACTGCACATTTTAGAGTGGCTTTTTATTGTCCCCAGCACAAGGTGCACCTGTGTAATGATCATGCTGTTTAATCAGCTTCTTGATGACTGCCTCGCCTGGTTCACCAACTACTTCTCAGAGTTCAGTGTGTCAAATCGGAAGGCCTGTTGTCTGGACCTGTGGCAGTCTCTGGGGGTGCCACAGGGTTCAAATCTCGGGCCGACTCTATTCTCTGTGTATATCAATGATGTCGCTCTTGCTGCTGGTGACTCTCAGATCCACCTCTACGCAGACGACTCCATTTTGTATACATCTGGCCCTTCATTGGACACTATGTTAACAAACCTCCAAACGAGCTTCAATGCCATACAACACTCCTTCCGTGGCCTCCAACTGCTCTTAAACGCTAGTAAAACTAAATGCACGCTCTTAAATCGAACGCTGCTTGCACCCGCCCGCCCGACTAGAATCACTACTCTCGGCGGGTCTGACTTAGAATATGTGGACAACTACAAATACCTAGGTGTCTGGTTAGACCGTAAACTCTCCTTCCAGACTCACATTAAGCATCTCCAATCCAAAGTTAAAACTAGAATCGGCTTCCTATTTCGCAACAAAGCCTCCTTCACTCATGCTGCTAAACATGCCCTCGTAAAACTGACTATCCTACCGATCCTTGACTTCGGCGATGTCATTTACAAAATAGCTTCCAACACTCTACTCAGCAAATTGGATGTAGTCTATCACAGTGCCATCACTTGTTGGCTGGTCCTCACTACATATTCGTCGCCAAACCCTCTGGCTCCAGGTACTCTATAAATGACTTCTAGGCAAATCCCTGCCTTATCTTAGCTCATTGGTCACCATAGCAACACCCACCCGTAGTCTGCGCTCCAGCAGGTATATCTCACTGGTCATCCCCAAAGCCAACACCTCTTTTGACCGCCATTCCTTCCAGTTCTCTGCTGCCAATGACTGGAACGAACTGCAAAAATCTCTGAAGCTGGAGACTCTTATCTCCCTCACTAACTTTAAGCATCAGTTGTCAGAGCACCTTACCGATCACTGCACCTGTACACAGCCCATCTGAAATTAGCCCACCCAACTACCTCATCCCCATATTGTTATTTATTTTGCTCTTTTGCACCCCAGTATCTCTATTTGCACATCTTCTGCACATCTTCTATCACTCCAGTGTTAATACTAAATTGTAATTATTTTGCACTATGGCCTATTTATTGCCTTACCTCCATAACTTACTACATTTGCACACACTGTATATAGATTTTCTATTGTGTTATTGACTGTACGTTTTGTTTATTCCATATGTAACTCTGTGTTGTTGTTGTTGTTTTTATCGCACTGCTTTGCTTTATCTTGGCCAGGTCGCAGTTGTAAATGAGAACTTGTTCTCAACTGGCTTACCTGGTTAAATAAAATAAAATTGATATGCCACACCTGTCAGGTGGATGGATTTTCTTGGCAAAGGACAAATGCTCACTAACAGGGATGTAAACAAATTTGTGCACTGATCTTGACAGAAATAAGCTTTTTGTGCGTATTTATATTTATTTATTTATTTGTTTTTGGACATTTTATTTCCGCTCATGAAACATGGGACCAACACTTTACATGTTGAGTTTGTTTTTGTTCAGTGTATGTACATTTATGCAAAATTAGATTTGAATATTATTCCAATGTTGGGCTTTTTTTAGAGGCACATTTT